ATTACTAAATTTGAAAATAAAAACTTTTGTTTTTCTTTTGGGCCACCCTGCCTTGATGAGATATGGCCAGTTCATTGAAAGAAGAAAGTAGGACTGTAAAAGAAGTGACTGCAAGAACGTTGGAGAGAGGTGTGGGACTAAAAAATTATGAATATTACAAGAAGTAACAGTTGCCATCATTTAGCCAATGAAAAGTTGCCAAGACAGTCTTTGGGAGAATGTGCAATAATAGAAAGTTCAAAGTGAACAGAAAGAACGTGATGAGTTGAAAAGTCTGTTAAAAGAAGTTTATCAATAATTGATGCCTGATTGTAGTAATGCCAAACTTCTGTGTTTGTATGAGGCATTATCTTCAAGTGTCTCAGCAAGGAGGAGACTGAAGGCAGCTGATCTGTTGTGTTTGAGATTAAAGTGTGTTGTATTCAGAAAATAAGGAGTGAAGAAATTAGTAAACAGTGTGGTAGTACAGGATGTGTAGATCTGGGTTGGTGACAGAAGGTATAAGAAACATCCCAGAAAGAGTTGGAGAGAGTCTGAAGGTGGTTTTTGATGCCATCTACAACTTACACCAGCCAGCAGGAGAAAAGTGCACCTGGATTCAAGGCAGCAGAGGAGCACTTCACCTTGCTTCTGTGCATTAATGCATCAGGTGATTTAAAATGCAAGTTGATATTTATTGCTCCCAGAATCCTCGTGCTTCAAAAGGTAGATTAAAGCACTCTGATTGTTACTTGGTGGCCTAACAAGATAGCAATGAGTGAGGTACTGTGTGCTGAGTGGTTCAAGCATTATTTTATTCCTTCAGTCAAGATGTACCTGTTCTAAAAGAATCTTCCATTCAAGGTTCTCACTCTTGATAATTTCAATAACAATAATCCTCAAGTCTAGCAGTCTACAGACCAAAATGTGAAGATTGTGTTTTTACCATCAAATATGACATCTTTGAAACAACATCTGGAGTGATTACAACGCATAAATGCCACCACAGTAAAACCACTAATTAATGGACTCCCATTCAATGGAATTTGGAAACTAAGGACAAAAAACTCGGCCAGACAAACACTGGAATCATTGGACAGGAAGTCTGCAGTTTCTGGATTTTATCCATAGTGATGCTGTCCAGTAGCCTCCTGGATAAACAGACCAAGTCTGATGATTCCAACATTAATCCTGTACAAGCTAAAGCACCCACATCCAGGGTGTATCTGTTTTCATTGTTCCTGAGCCATTAGCTACCCACGTCAGTTTATTGTTTGTGCTCACTCATGCATGCACTCATCATTCAGTCTCCAATTTTCCCTGAAATTACAATGTTTTGTGTGAATTAATTTATCAAGTAAAGTGCAATTAACAATGGCTTCTTATGCAAATGGCCATGCCAAGAGGAAGTATGTGGTTCTAGTGTTGAGCAGAAACTTGAACTAATAAAGGAGGTTGAGTCTGGCAACTTTGTGGCATGGGTATGTGAGAAATATGGTGTTAAAAAACAGTGTCTGATCTTCATAGAACTAATGACAAACTTGCCAATTATATGCTTTAGTGTAGATTCTAACCATAAAGGTACAACAGTTGGTCATAAAAAGCATATGAAAATGACCCACGATAAAAAGCTTTTAGAAGCAGTCATAAATGGTATGTTCAATAATGTTCTGGTGTTGATGTTCATGGTGCTCATCTTCACTCTGCTGCACATAGGCTAGCAAACCACATGAACACAGAATTTCAGGGAAGTGATGGTTAGCTTTGGCGCCACTGTAATCATCATAGCTCGAGTAATGAGAAGACTTACGGTGAAGCTGGTAGTGAAAACATGGATGAAGTTGAGCCATTCAGATTGATGTAAAATAATACTATGAAATGAGAAGCTCCTTAAATCTCAACTGTTTAATGCTTTTGAGATGGTACTATTGTACATTAATGTATTTTCAACTTCAGTTTTATTTATAATACAGTACAGCCTCTCCTCACTTAGCGACGTACTTGTTTACTGACGTCTCAGATTTATGATGGGCTCTCTGACCAGTATTCATTCCTAAATAATGTATATTAGAGCTGATTTCCTCTATTCTGTTTATTTCAATATACAGTACACTACTGTATAAACATTTAAAATTATACCAGAAATGTTATAAATGGTGCAAAGGTGACATTAAAACAATATCAAATATGGCTGACACAAACTCACTTCCATTATAGTATGCTCCTCACTTAGTGACAAATTCGTTTAACGATGTGGTCTTAGGAACAGAACTCCGTAGTTAAGTGAAGAGAGGGTGTACAATACAGATACTATATTTACAATACAGAACTGTACATGTAAAGTGCTGTACTGTACTATATGTTTTACAGATTACAATACCTGTATTCTTAAGTGTCCAGTAGTCTTCTGAATAAATAGACCAAGTTCGCTGATTAAGACTTTCGTCTGTTTGTGATAAATTAATTCCATAATTCAGAATCTACAAACAATCGGCAATAATGTACAACCCTCCAACTTATTAGTTCATTAATTAAAGGATTTACTGTACACATGAAAGGTGATGACAAATAAATCGACAGGTTTTTCCACAATAGAGTTAGGCCCAGGAAATAATAGACATGACAAGGAAATTGACAAGCAAGGGCTTTCAAGATACAAAGCCAGAAAATGTAAATGAACTCTTAGACAGTTATGATGAAGAACAAACTGCAGAGGGAGGCAGATAACAAACAAGGATGAGGAAGAACTTGAATGTAAACCATCAACACCTCAAGATATACAGAAGATGCTGCATAGTATTAATATTGATGATTTTTTTAAAAGACTGATAAAGACCTTGACACATCTAGAAGCATTGTTGTGAAGCTGGATCTGGAGAAATTGTTGATGCCTTATAGTCAGCAGTATAAAGTACTGCTGGGTAAAACAGCAGAATGTATAGCTAAGGATTCCAGCAAATAATTCTGCACTGACATCAGCTTAAGAACCACATCATGAATCTCAGTCATCCACTTTGGCCCAGAAAGGCCACAGCAACCCTCTCTGTTGACCTCAAAACCAATGTGCATCAGCAACTATGTTTAAAAAAGTTGTTCTATACATTTTTTTTAGCTACATTTACTCTTGGCTGTTAAAACCTTATTACCTATAACTAGGCCTAGTAGGGTCACATCAATCTCTTCACATATTTCTAGATCAATAAGATATCAAAATCTTAATTTTTATTAAAGAAGTATAGAAAGCAACCCTGTTTTTCCATAATGCTTTTCACCTCACATATCACAAATTTACAAACAGCAACAATTTTAGGAAGGTAACACACATGGTATGTGAGTTTCCTATATTTGTGTGGGTATGCTTGTATATTATATGTACATGTATGTGTATACATGTGTGTGTACACATGTATATGTATGTGCATATATGTATGTATAGTTTGTACATACATGCACAGTCTGTATATGTACAGTATGTATGTATGTATGTATGTATGTATGTATGCATGCATGCACGCATGCATGTGTGTGTATATATTTATAAAAAGTATGCATATGCATAAAATTTTAACAGTAGACGATGTCCTTAAGGAAAATTTCAGGTGCAACCATACTTGCTAATTTCCATTGTTATGAGCCTATAAGACAAAATGAACTTGACTGGTTCCCTCTTAGCTACATTTATTGATTTCAACCTTCTGGGTTGCAATTTATGAACAAGTGAAAAAATATCCTCATAACTTATGATAGCCTGAAACTAAAATACATCGGTACTATAATTTCTATTTTTGCTGAGTTCCACTAAATCCTCTAAATAATGACATTACTGATGCAGCTGCTGAGGAAACAATACCCCCAGCTCCAGCACCTATGGTACCCATGCCCACACCTTGCCCAACCTGACCCATAGTTGCCTGAGAGTAAATGGCAGTGGAATTAAATGTAGAAAAAGCCTGATGTGTAGGTACAGATGGTGGCTCCAGGAGAGGTATGTTGGGGACCTGTAATATAGCCAAAGAAAACCCCATATTAGCAAGTCGCTCAAGATATTCAAAGCTAGCCTTATATTCTATCCCTGCGATTCATCTGTAATGCCATAAAATATTTTATGACATGGAGTTACAATTGGGTCATCTGCATGAGTTGCAAGCCTGAAAGTTTTGCTGAATCTCATTTTCTTCTGCTTCTACTGAGAAGATATTTTTTAATACTGTCAGTTTTTGGGAGCAACTTAAGCATTATCCTGACTAAACATTGCCTTTACTTCAGTGCACTTTTCTGGCCTGAAGCACTTGCCAACACATCACCAATAGTTTCATGACTTATAAATGCCATCTCTACATAAGCACCATATCTACTGTACAGTGGACCCCCGCATAACGATCACCTCCGAATGCGCCCAATTATGTTATTTATGAAGGCTTGACGGTATTTTTGGGGTCTGAAATGACTAATCACTTCACAATTTTCCTTAGGGGAACAAATTCGTTCAGAAAACTGGCCCTGAACATACTTCGGGAGTGAAAAAAATCTTTAAACCCGGGGGCCCACTGTAAAGAAAACATCACCATTGCAATCCACCACCTCGCTCAAAACACAATCCCCACTACTAAAATACTCCTTCACTGTAACATAATTTTCCTTCTATATAACCCCCCTTCCCTTTCATAAAATGTCATTCACTTATAATGTGTGACTCCTATGTCACCTGTTAATACAACACTGCCAATTACAGCACTCATTCGGCAGGTTGCTATACTTTTGAACACCTTGAAGTCAAGTCAAAATTTAAAATTCATTTTACTCAGGGTTTCTTTATGACCAAAAGGATTCACTTCAGTTTCATCTGGGGTTTACCCCTACTGTTCAATCCTCATTTTTTTTGTTTTATTTATACTAAGGCAAGGGCCAGAATTCTTTTTTTTTACAAGTTAACTAAGTTACAGACATTACAGAGTCAATTTTACAGATAACAGTCGAACTACCTTTTTAGGAACAAAATCAAAACTCTAAAACGTGTATTTTCACTTAGGGTTTTTCCCACTCAGCAACAGGTTTTGTGCCCTTTCCCTTTTCAAAATCAAGCCTTCTGGTTTTTCCTCTTGAGCTCCTTCTTCCATACTTCCACCAGGCCCGGGCAATCTAAAAACCCCCTTTCTGCAAAGGTCGCTGGGTGTGTAATTGTTAAATCAGTAAATAATTATAAAAAGAGTATACATTTTGTAAAAGAAAATAAACAGCATCAATGATGCACAAACAAAAATTACACAGAATAATTTAATAAGTTTACATTCAAATGGACTCAAACGGGAAAAAAAAATTAAGCTTAATTTTTTTTTACTAGCAGCCATTTCCCAAAAAGGTAGAGGACCTAAGAAAGGGGAATGCCTTTCCTATTTCCCATTTTTCATTCAACAAACTGCGACAGGTGGAGACGTCACACTCAGGTGACTTCATAAAAAATTTGTGTATCCTTTTATTATCCTCCTCTTCCCCATTTTCCCCCAAAACCTAAATTTAAACTGCCAAAACAACGGGAATGCTTGGGACTAACTCCCCCTCACCCTCATATGTAAACCCTTTTCCCCATTTAAAAACGGGGGTTCCTTCCTAAAAGTAGGTTGGTAAGAAAAGGGGTTTTTAAAGGGCATACAACTGGAAATGGGTTTGGGGTAAACCCATTTATATTTTTTTTTAATGTCACCTTTTCCCCCATTTACAACAATTATATTTTTAAATTTTTTATACAGTATGTACTTATACTGAATAAACAAATAGAGGAAATCAGCTCTAAATACATTACTTGGGTTTGCATACTGTTTAAGAGCTGTCAAGTCCGAGGGGTCATAAACGAGTACGTTTTAAGTGGGAGAGGTTGACGTAAAATAGACATACCTTTCCTGGGTCAGCCACTGTTGTCAAAAGGCTAAAAGGGTTTGGGGTTGTGTGATTGGCCGAGTAATTTGCGGGAACATTTTGGGACAAACACAAATACAAAACTTTTGTATTTAATCTTGCTACACTCTTGCAAACTTTTGCTCGCTCAACCATTTTTCTGCAAAATTCACTAAAAAAAAACATCTGTCCATTAGTTTCAAGACAAGCCCATAGCGAAAAAATTTTTCCTTTCAACTTTCAATTATTTTTTTATCTAAGCGTGCAAAAAAAAAAAAAAAGTAATATACCTGTATTACAATACACCCAAAATAGAAAAGTGGTGTTCATAACTCAACCTTCCCTTTTCCTTACCATTTTGTATTTTAACCCCTTAAACCCTTAAACCTTTTCAGGCCCCTCTCTGAAACTTCATTCATGTCCCCAAAAAATTTCAAAAAAAAAAAAAAATTTTTTCTTAAAAATGTTAAATAACTTTAGTTTTACTTGTAATTGAGGTTTTTTTTTTTTCACTATTTTATTTTTCACATAACTTATGTGGCCTATGAGACCAAAGTAAGGTGCAATTTTATATATCACTCGTTGTATACAACACAATAAGCACACAAACATAATTATCAATATATTGTTTTCAAAAAAAAAACAAACAACAAACAACCTCTCCTCTCCTTCCTCCTCCTCCTCCCCTTTCTCCTCCTTCCCCCTTTTCCTCCTCCTTCTCCTCCTCCTCCTCCTCCCTTTCCCCTCCTCCTTTTCCTCCTTTCCCTCCCCCCTTCTCCTCCTCCTTCTCCTCCCCCCTTCTCCTCCTCCCCTCCTCCTCCTCCCTCCTTCTCCTTTCCCCCCTCCCCTTACCCCCCCTCCTCCCTTTTCCCCCCTCCTCCTCCTTCTCCTCCCCTCCTTCTCCCCTCCCCCTTCCCTCCTCCCCTCCCCCCTCCTCCTCCTCCTTCTCCTCCTCCTCCTTCTTCTCCTCCTCCTTCTTCCCTCCCCCTCCCTTTTCCTCATTCTCCCCTCCTCCTTCCCCCTCCCCTTTTTCCTCCCCTCTTCTCCTCCTCCTTTCCCCTCCTCCTTTTCTCCTCCTCCTTCTCCCCTCCTCCTTCCCTCCCCTCCTTCTCCCCCCCCCTTCCCCCTCCCCTCCTCCCCCTTTTCCCCTCCTCCTTCCCTCCCCTTCTCCTCCTCCCCCTTCTCCTCCCCCCCTCCCCCCTTTCCTCTCCTCCTCCTCCTCCTTCTCCCCTCCTCCCCTCCTCCTCCCCTCCTCCTTTTCCCTCCTCCTCCTTCTCCTTCTCCTCCTCCTCCTCCTTCTCCTCCTCCCCTCCTTCCCCCCTCCTTCCCTCCTTCTCCCCCCTCCCCTTTTCCTCCTCCTCCCCTTCTCCTCCCCCTCCTCCTTTTCCTCCTCCTCCCCTCCTTCCCCTCCTCCCCTTCTCCTTTCTCCTCCTCCTTCTCCTTTTCCCCCCTCCTTCTCCCCTCCTCCTCCTTCTCCTTCTCCTTTTCCCTCCCCTCCTCCTCCTCCTTCTCCCCCCCTTCTCCTCCTCCTTCTCCTTCTCCTCCCCTTCTCCTTCTCCCTCTCCTTTTCCTCCTCCCCTTTTCCTTTTCCCTCCCTTCTCTCCCCCTCCTCCTTCTCCTTTTCCCCCCCCCCTCCCCTCCTTTCTCCTCCCCTTCTCCTTCTCCCTCCTTCTCCTCCTCCTCCCCTCCTCCTTTCTCCTTCTCCTCCTCCTCTCCTTCCCTTCCTCCCCCCTCCTTCTCCTCCCCCCCTCCTTCTCCTCCTCCTTTTCCTTCTCCCTCCTTCTCCTTCTCCCCTCCTTCTCCTCCCCTTCTCCCCTCCTTCTCCTCCCCTTCCCTCCCCTTCTCCTCCTCCTCCTCCCCCTTCTCCCTCCTCCTCCCTCCTCCCCTCCTCCTTCCCTCCCTTTTCCCCTCCTCCTTCTCCTCCTCCCCCCTTCCCTCCCCTTCTCCTCCCCTTCTCCCCTCCTTCTCCTCCTCCTCTCCCCCTCCTTCTCCCCCCTCCTCTCCTCCTCCTCCTCCTTCTCCTCCTCCTTCTCCTCCTCCTTCTCCCCTCCTTCCTCCTCCTTCTCCTCCTTCTCCTCCTCCTTCTCCTCCTTCTCCTCCTCCTCCTTCTCCTCCTCCTCCTTCTCCTCCTCCTTCTTCTCCTCCTCCTTCTTCTCCTTCCCTTCTCCTCCTCCTCCTTCTCCTCCTCCTCCTTCTCCTCCTCCTCCTTCTCTCCTCCTCCCTTCTCCTCCTCCTCCTTCTCCTCCTCCTCCTTCTCCTCCTCCTCCTTCTCCTCCTCCTTGTCTTGTGTGCGAGTGTGTGGCTTATAATTGTTTTGAGTCAGAAGTCGGCAGCTGTCAAAGTGACATATTGTCTCATTACTTACTCCCCCTCCTGCCTGTCAAAACAATGGGGTCGGATGCTGCTTCCCCTCCTCCATTCTATCTAATTATCTTTCTCCCTCATTCTATATCTTTCAATCTGTCTCTCTTTCTATCTGTCTGCCTATCTCTGTCTCACAGGTACACATAAATACAAGTATACATAGTGTAAATTACCTAGAATAACCCAAGAAATCCAGACAAAGTGCTATACTCTGCTTGAAGATGTGAGTAAACGTGATGACACAGTCTTGTGGCTCTCTCTGAGACAGAGAGCTAGATGGACAGACAGGGAGCTTGACAGACAGACAAATAGACAGACAGAAAATGTTTGTGTACCAGCAAAAACAAAGGGAGGGCGATGGTCATGTAATATTACCCTCCTTTACACTCATCAAAGTCAGCTCTTATCAGATGTTATCTCCCCTGATCTTGTCACTGTCATGGGGTGGACTTTTTTTTTTCTTGCTTCAAGGGAACAATATTATTACATCTTCTTCTTCCTCCTCCTCCTCCTCCTCTTCTCCTCCTCCTCCTCCTCTTCCTCCTCCTCCTCTTCCTCTTCCTTCCCTCCTCTTCCTCCTCCTCCTCTTCCTCCCCTCCTCCTCCTCCATTGCTTTTGGTCTCAAACTCCTCCAAATCATGAAATTGATCTTCACTGACACTTCCATCTGTGTTAGAGCATCACTTGGGAAGAGAAGAGTCCCAGATTTGCTGGGGAATCACATATTTCTTACCGCTAGACATGCTGAAAAATGACAACTGAAATGGCATTCCCACAATGCACCACTGGCTCCCCGATTTTTTTTATATGGTGCACACTGACCATGGAGACCCATTCTCTCACATGTGGGCCTACCAGCTTTCTCCTGCTTGATTTGAAGCTGCTAGAATTTATGCGTATAAATACGTCAGAAACATTGGCTCGTAAGACGTATTTATACGTCGGAAACAGTCAAAGGGTTAAACTGTCCAAACGTAGATCTACGCTTACGTGCGTAGCGCTCCGATCTTGATTTCTAATGAGGACACTAGAGCACTCCAGGATGATTTGAATAGACTGATGCAATGGTTGGAGAAGTGGCAGATGTGGTTTAATATTGACAAATGCGGGGTAGGGGTCATCCTCAAAAGGGTTGGAGAGAGGGGGTAAAGGAGGTTTTGTGGGCAAGGGGCTTGGACTTCCAGCAAGCGTGCATGAGCGTGTTAGATAGGAGTGAATGGAGACGAATGGTACTTGGGACCTGACGATCTGTTGGAGTGTGAGCAGGGCAATATTTAGTGAAGGGATTCAGGGAAACCGGTTATTTTCATATAGTCGGACTTGAGTCCTGGAAATGGGAAGTACAATGCCTGCACTTTAAAGGAGGGGTTTGGGATATCGGCAGTTTGGAGGGATATGTTGTGTATCTTTATATGTGTATGCTTCTAAACTGTTGTATTCTGAGCACCTCTGCAAAAACAGTGATAATGTGTGAGTGTGGTGAAAGTGTTGAATGATGATGAAAGTATTTTCTTTTAGGGGATTTTCTTTCTTTTTAGGGTCACCCTGCCTCGGTGGGAGACAGCCGACTTGTTGAGAAAAAAAAAAAAAAAAAGCAAAGTTCTAAATGTTGGACAGTTAAATAACCATGCCAAATATAAACTAAATAATATAGATCTTAATACTACTGACTGCAAAAAGGATTTACGAGTTCTGGTTAGCAGTAATCTAAAACCAAGACAACAGTGCATTAGTGTTCGCAATAAAGCTAATAGAATTCTTGGCTTCATATCTAGATGTATAAATAATAGAAGTCCTCAGGTTGTTCAACTCTATATATCCTTGGTTAGGCCTCATTTAGACTATGCTGCTCAGTTCTGGTCACCGTATTACAGAATGGATATAAATGCTCAGGAAAACGTACAGAGGAGGATGACAAAGATGATCCCATGTATCAGAAATCTTCCATATGAGGATAGACTGAGGGCCTGAATCTGCACTCTCTTGAAAGGCGTAGAATTAGGGGGGATATGATCGAGGTGTATAAATGGAAAACAGGAATAAATAAAGGGGATGCAAATAGCATGCTGAAAATTTCCAGCCAAGATAGGACTCGCAGCAATGGTTTCAAATTGGAAAAATTCAGATTCAGGAAGGATATACGAAAGCACTGGTTTGGTAATAGAGTCGTGGATGAGTGGAACAAACTCCCGAGTACAGTTATTCAGGCTAAAACGTTGTGTAGTTTTAAAAATAGGTTAGATAAATACATGAGTGGGTGTGGGTGGGTGTGAGCTGGACTTGACTAGCATGTGCTGCTGGGTCTGGTGCCGTGCTCCATCCTTGAGTGGAGGTGACCAGACTTGGTGGTTCATTGGGCTAATCCGGGGTGGGTGGGTCATGGGGCTAATTGGGGGGGGGGGCATAGGTCAGTAGGCCTGTTGCAATGTTCCTTCTTTCTTATGTTCTTATTTGAAAGCATGTAAAAAAAAAAAGTAGATCTACGTTCGGAGAGCTACACGAAAAATTGCAAAGGTTAGTGGACGAGTTTGGGAGTGTGTGTAAAAGTAAAAAGTTGAAAGTGAACATAGAAAAGAGTAAGGTGATGAAGGTATCAAATGATTTAGATAAAGAAAAATTGGGTATCAAATTGGAGAGGAGGAGTATGGAAGAAGTGAATGTTTTCAGATATTTGGGAGTTGACGTGTCAGCGGATGGATTTCTGAAGGATGAGGTTAAACATAGAATTCATGGAGAAAAAAAGGTGAGTGGTGCATTGAGGTACAGTGGAACCTCAAAAATCGAACGTATCACATATCGAATGTTTCG